TGCTGCTATAAACATAGGTACAAATACTATAATACAATTTCTTTAACTGTTTTGGGAAGATGTTTAGTAGCGCAATAGCTGGGTCAGATAGAATTTGCTTTTAGTTTTCTGAAGACTCTCTACACTGATTTCCATGGTGGTTGTACCAGTTTTCATTCCCACCAATGCAGGAGGGTTCCTTTTTCATCACAGCATTTGTATCTACTGGATTTCTTGATGATTGCCATTTTTTCTGGAATAAGATCAAAGCTCACTATCGTTTTAATTTTCATTTCTCTAATATTGAATATTTTTTCATGTATTTATGGGTCATTCTTTCTTTGTCTTCTAGATGTCTACTCATTTCAGTTGCCCATTTAAAAAATGTTTTATTATTAAATCTGTATCTATCTATCTATATAATGATTACATTCATCACGGGGAATTTGTACCTAAACTTTATATACCTTAGTTTTTCTTTAAGGGTATGATTGATCCCTATTGGCTCATATCTCCATTGTAGAAAAGATTTTCCATGGATGTTTTCATCATAATGTTACATTTAGAAGGAAATGGAAGGGATAAGTGTACTGACTTGGGGGACTGACTCTGATTCTCAAGAGGAAATAATGTTTCTGATGTAAAGTGTGAGCAGGGAAGACTATGCCTGGATCCCAGGAGATTCTTAGGGTTCAGGCGAGGCTGCTTGGTGCTTCTCTGTCTGGCAATAGAAGCTATTGAAAAATTATAGCAAATCAATAAAAAAAGGCCACTAAGCTCTCAGATCCTTCAGGAATAAAATGTGGGATTACTCTACCAGGAATACAGCCCTAATCAAGTAGGATGCTGGTTGAGGTCAGAGGTCCCATGGAACGGACAGTGAAAGAAGAAAGTTATAAACATTATCTATGATCCCTGACCAGGTAAAGAAGATTTGAGCCAGGTGTGATGGTGCAGGCTTGAAATACTGCCATAGAGACAGGAAAAACTCCTGGGCGCATAACCTATTATTCATTAAAGACTTGGTTTATATTTTCACCTGAGGCAGTCAGGAACTTTATGCAGTTATTGCTAAAGAATAGGGACTCCTCACCAGTGTCACGTCTGGGGGAGGGATGTGCACCACACCACGCCATCATCTGCTGGATCACACTGCTACCTGGATCCTATTAGGATCATAAACTCTTAGCTTCAGTAATGAAGTAAAGAAGCAGCGTTTAAAATAAAAGAAAACAGTTTATTTGCAATTTGTAATCGCCAGATCTTGGAAACAACCCAAGTGTCCATCAACTGAGGAATGGATAAAAAAGTTGTGGTATTTCTATACAATGGAGTATTATTCAGCTATAAAGAAGGATCACATTGAGATATTTATCAATAAATGGGCGCAGCTTGAGACCATACTCATTAGTGAAATAAATCAATCTCGCATGTGTGAATACCGAATAGTTTCCCTAATGTAAATAATGATTCAAATATATAAAAATATGTGGTAATCATGATTCCCCATTAGGTGGCCTTGAAGCCTTATAAAGTTTTCACTCATTAATTAGAAAGGCTTTATTCTGGGCTTCTTGATATGAAAATATTTGAAGCTAGAGTATATGAAGTTTTATCCAAATATTTCAAGGAAAAAGACACTATGGTAACTACTATTAAGTCAGGTTATAAGGTGGTGAAGTACTAGGTTGTTGAAACAGTCATGCTGTGACCTCTATTGTTATATTGTTATGTCCTGTTTTATCTCGATCTCCCCCTTATTGTTTCAAAAAAAATTATTTAGTCATTTCTTATGTTTGTCTTAATTAAAGAAAAAATTCAAAAAAATTAGGATATATAAATAGTAACTCTTTTTGATTTCCTATTAACTTGTTTTGAAGTCCTGTAGTACTCCCACGATCTTGTTTTGACTGATTAGACTCTGTTCCATTCTATATGATAGTATCAAGTTTGAAGACATAGGCAACTACTTTGAAGACAATAAGATTCACTAAGATACCCATTCTGGTTTGACTATTGTCTTCTTTGGAAGTCCTGTAATGTTTACAATGCCTAAGTTTTATTGGTCTTGTTCTCTACTGTTTTGTCCAACTTTATAATATCTAATGAGATAGACAATTCTTTTTAAGGAAACAAGGGACAACGTTGATAACCATTGTTGATAAACTTGTACTCTGTTCTACACCATGTGCTATGTCTATCCTTGGTATTGACTGACAGCTTTGTTTTGCCATATTTGACTGTATTCTCTCCCCCCCAAAGAAAGTAATAAGCACTAAGGAGTAATAAAATCCAAGATGTGTAAATTTTGTTGTAAAAAAGAGAGGGAAAAAAAAAAGAAAAAGAGCTCTAACGGATATAACAGCAAGTGTGTTTGGGGGTGTTAAATAGCTGACTATATCAATGTTTTTGGAACATTGAACACAGCTGTTTGCAGTCTCCCTGTTTGAATGTCCACCTTGTGTTCTTTGATACTGTGATTTGAGGAACTATTTTCAAGAAGATAGTGTGTAATCTACTAGCAGGTGATTTCTTACTGTTATGTTTTTTTGTTTTGTTTTGTTTTGTTTTGTTTTGTTTGTAGTTCTGTATTGCGTGTACCCTTACGCCGCTTTGGTTTGTTTTGTGTTTTTCTCTTTTTCCTCTTAAATAAAAAAATAAAAAAAAACAGTTTATTTGGAAAAGATGGGGGGAGAGGGAAGACACACAGCTATTCTGGAGGGCTAGGGAGGCTCAAAAGTAAATAACACCCAAGAATTTGTTTATTTGGGACTAGTGGTTTTCACTACCACCTGGAAGTTGTCACCATCCAATTGGTTCTCTGGTTACTTTTGATCCTAACTTGAGCATCTCTCTTTTCTTTCTTTCTTTCTTTCTTTCTTTCTTTCTTTCTTTCTCTCTCTCTCTCTCTCTCTCTCTCTCTCTCTCTCTCTCTTTCTCTCTTTTAAAGGGAATAAAATAGAACAATAAAATGAAACAAAACAGTGATAAGACATTCGGAAATCCATAATAATTTCAATATTGCATAGTTATCCCCTAACTAATTGCTCAGACTACCAGTTTTAAGTCAAGCAATATAAGCATTAGGTTATTTCTTTCTTTTTTTGTCTTTTTCCTTATCGGTACTGGGGATCAAACTGACAACTGCCTGCTTGCAAGTCAGGCGCTTATGCCGCTGAGCTAAACCTCCAGCCCCCTATTTCTTTACTTCAGTTGTTATCATCTCAGACTAGCTTCCTCCAAATCAGCTGGTTGCTCGTAGGGGAGTAGGGGGTTCTTCTCTCCCAGCTGTCTCATGATGGGGTGGAGAGTGGGGCACGGCCTTCTTCCTGCCCAGCAGGCCACCACTGGTATATGGGGGCTACACAGCTTCTCTTTCTTTTCCTTCCTTCCTTTCTTTTTTTGTTCACCTAAAATTCATATTTATTAACTTTTATCTATTAACATCTTTGTATGTAATTAGATAATTTTTGCTTCTGCCTAGGTGTTTATCTTTATTTCTCTTACTTTAAAGAAATCATTTTAAAAAAAGAAATCACTGGGGCTGGGGATTTAGCTCAGTGGCATAAGCACCTGCCTTGCAAGCAGGCGGTGGTGAGTTCGATCCCCTGTACTGATAAAAAAAAAAAAAAGAAATCATCTCACAATATAACTGAAGTTTTTATATTTATTAAATATGATGCATTATGGTTAATAACATTACCTTAACCCTTCTTCACCTTTACACATCATTTTTTTTTTTTTTTGTCTTTTTCCTTTTTATCGGTACCAGGGATCGAACTCACGACTGCCTGCTTGCAACGCAGGCGCTTATGCCGCTGAGCTAAATCCCCAGCCCCTACACATCATTTTCTACATTAGAAATATATGAATATACTACTGAAAAGAATGCTATTTATTTTCTTTTATTTATTTTTTGGTACTAGGGATCAAATTACAATCTCTCACCTGCCAGGCAGGCACTTATGCCACTGAGCTAAATCCCCAGCCCCAATGATAAGGTTTTAAAAGTAGAAAAGAGAGCATTAAAAATACATCTTTTGTATTCCACCATCTACAAGCAGCCACTTTTAACATTTTGGTGAATTTCTTTACAATCTTTTATCAGTGCAAAGGAATTTTCTCTTTAACATAATTGCAAGTGCACTAAATTATTTTTTGTTTGGCTTTATACTATATTTCAATGTCATTACAAAGTTTATAAACGTAATTTAATAAATGCATATTTTACTAATTTTGTATTACAGCTATTTCTCTATTATAATCCCTAATTTTTACTGTATAAATAATACTATAATGAGTAATTCTGTGCTCAAAACTTTTTCTTGGCTGGTAATTTTGTTTTTAGAGCAATTTTTTGTCTTTTTGAGATAGGGTCTCACTATGCAGTTCAGGCTGGACTTGAGCTCACTTTGTAGCCCAGGTTGGCTTTGAACCTGCAACAATCCTCCCGCCTCAGCCTCCCCAGTGCTGGGATTACAGAAGTGAGCCACTGCTGTTGGTAAATTTCTGTAGCATCACTATATGCCAGGCACTATCCCAAGAATTTATGAGAATTGTTAATTTACTCTTCCTAATAATTCAACAATTAGGCTACAGTATAATTTTCATTTTAGAGAAAAGAAAACTAAAATACAGCAATTATTTATTGCCTAGTTGGTAAGTGGAGGAACTAGGAATTGGATACAGGTCTTTGGACTCTGTGGATTATAAAGGAACTTGCATTAAAAGGAATGAACATTTTGACAATTTTGATGCATATTACCAAACTTCTTTACATCCAATAATGAAGATTCCAGTGTGTCAAATCTCCTTTCAAATCAAAATGGTTCAAGAACAAAGAGTAGACTAGACCCTGTATGTCCTTTGTATGTTAAAAAGTCACACAACTTATTATTTATTTGTTTATAACAAGTATTTAATTAGAAAAGAGACAACATATTACATTTATTATGTAGATTTCAATTCATAGAAAATGGAATATTATCCAAAAGCACTCCAACTCATTATCAATCAAATAATAGTATTTTTAATTTTTATTTTAAAGAGGATAAAACAGAATAAAACCAAAACAAACCAGTATAAGAGACAGAGGACTTTCAAACATTACAAAATCAACTAGTTACCATAATACCTTTTGATGCCTTCAAAATAGCTGCAGATAACTTTGGACATAGTAAAAATCAAACAGAACAGAATAGAAATAATAAAAGCAAAACAATGTATGCAATAAAGACTTCAAAGCAAGCCTACAGTAAATCTAAAATTGTACCTTAATATATCTTGTTATCTTTGAAATAGCAGCCCCTGCCATCCAATTTGACATACTCAAAAAAAAGAATAAAATCTACCCAAAAAACAATGGAAATGATATAGGACTTCCAAAACAAGACCATAGGTAATCAACAATGGCTGCAACCCTCAGAAGGGGATCCCCCCCTAGATGTCACACTGCGCATTGCTATCCTCTAAACATGTGATCAAACCACTGGCCCTTGACCTGCAATGTCAGTGAAACACCAAAGCACCACAGACATCCAATTGCATTTCACCTCTATAGCTATCATCACAGCGTGTGTTTCTCCAGATAAGCCTACCGCTTATGGCCGGGGAGTAGCGGGTGTTGGTACTTCTTGTTTGCCAGCCCGTACACCAGAAGGGAATGGGGTCTGTCTGTTCCAGTCCAGTGGTGGCCCATGCATGGCGCAGATTCCCAGACTGGGCTTGCTTGCTGGTATGGCTTTATTCTGTCTTTTCCTGATCTGCAAATGGCTCTGACTCACAGGGAGAAGCTGGTGTCTGTCTCTCAAACAATAGTTTTTTGTTTTTTTGTCTTTTTCCTTTTTATTGGTACCAGGGATCGAACTCACAACCGCCTGCTTGCAAGGCAGGTGCTTATGCTGCTGAGCTAAATCCCCAGCCCCTCAAACAATAGTTTTAAAACAGACACAAGTTCTGAGGTGTTGAAGTTTTTTTAAAAAATTAAAAATCTATCTATATTCTTTATGGCTATTTGATTTCTCACTGTCACTTTGTGATGGATAAGTGTATGACGGAGCCTTATAAAAAGGTAACTTAGAATTAATGATTAAGTAAAGGGAAAATGTGTGTTTTATATGTTAAACAAGGTTCCTTATCTCCTTTGCATTTTATTGAGGGAAGGGGGTGGTTATCCAGGCCTTTCATGTTTCTGGCTATATCCCTGTTTAGCCTGTTTACTCTAAATTCTTATGTGAATTGTATTACCTGGTGCCTTCAGGAGCCTGGTTTCTTTGTCTTTACACTTCTTTCTAATTGCTGAAGTATAGCTACAGGGCAAAATTTCCGTTAGTAGGGTTCCTGTTAACTTCTTTAATCAAGCTTAATGAGATTTTATTTCATCCTTTTTCCTGCCTGTGACCACCTGTCCCTACCGGGTCTACAAAGTCTCAATAACAAACTAAAAACAGAATAAATCTCAACATTCATTCAGGATTGTCTATGACCTGAAAACTTGGAGTAACATAACTTCTCTGCACATAGGCATGTTAATCATTTAGGGATGGCAAAACCAGGTTGATTATCCCTGAGATTACATAACCTATCTCATTCCCCTTACAAGACTGAGGACACCAAGAGATTTATAGGGACATTCACCTACCATTGAGCACCGAGAGAAGTCTACAGTCAGTGCCCTAAACCTAGGGTCGTTCTGAATTCCATCAGTGCCTACACCTGTCTGAGACTGCCTCGAACAGAAATAATTATCTCATGAGATTGAATTGTCCCTCAAGCAATAAAGACTTCTTCCAAGTCATCTGGAAAAACAGAACTGAGATAATGATCAGCTAGGCTCTAGTCAACCCCTCAACTCTGTAAAAACTGGTCTCCTTCTTCTGCTAAGAGGCCCGTCTGACCCTTTTCATCAGAGCCATACCATACCTTGTCAGCTCCTCAGGCTGAAGTTTTTCTCCATTTTCTCTTACATTTGAACTCTACCTAATAAACCTGCCTATGCCTTACACTGACACACCCTAGCCGGGCGTTGGTGGCTCACGCCTGTAATCCCAGCACTCAGGAGGCTGAGGCAGGAGGATTGTTGTGAGTTCAAGACCAGCCTAGGCTACAAAGTGAGCTCAAGGCCAGCCTGAACTGTGTAGAGAGACCCTGTCTCAAAAAGACAAAAAAAAGACAAAAAAAAAAAAAAAAAAAAAGAATATTGACACATCCTGGGCTGGGGATTTAGCTCAGCGGCATAAGCGCCTGCCTTGCAAGCAGGCAGTCGTGAGTTCGATCCCCGGTACCGATAAAAAGGAAAAAGACAAAAAACAAACAAACAAACAAAGAATATTGACACATCGAGAAATGTTTTTTTAGCATAAATTGAAGCCTCCATGTCCTCTTTTCGAAAACTCTTTCGCCCTCCACCTAGGAACAATGGAACCCCCTCCTGGTGACAATGCCAGATACTTGAAAGGCTGAGACAGGAGTGTTAGCAAGTAACTCCTTCTGAAAGTGGCTCACCAAATAAAACTTGGCACGTTCTGGATTTGTCACCTCTTTTTCTGGAGGTAGATTCCAAATTCTTCTCATCTTCATGTAGAACTGAACTAAACGAACAACAGGCAGTGGCAATGTTTACTTGAAAAGGTAAAAGTGAAGAGTGAGAAACTGGCTCTGCACTATGAGCTGGGCAGAATAAAGAGGGAAAAGCAAGATAAGAATACACCCCGGAGGACACGGCAGGCTATCACAAGGAGAGTCACAATGACAAGTTCTTCTTGGTGTCTGTGTCCTTTTATACTGTCCAAATCCTGAGGAGACCTTCTAGAAGCTCTACATACAGGTCCGGAGAGGCAGCATTGGGATCCCACCCCTCAGCCTGATGTCGGGTCTAGGCCATCCCATTAAAAACCCGCTCCGGTTCCCAGAAGTCCACGTGCAGGGCTTTGGGAACTGTTCTACCTCCATGTTTTGGGATCTTGTAATTAGCACGTCATACCTACTTTCCTAGCTTTGCCACGCCCTAATCTCCTATGTCAGGAGGACCGTAAATTGAGGGCAGCCTGGGCAACTTAATTCAGACGCTGGTCCAAAATAAAATGAAAAGAGCTTGTTTTCCAGTACTGAAAATCGTTTCCTCATCCATCATCATTATCTGCCTCATGCGCCACTTCAATCAGAGAAGTCATATAACCCTCTGCCTCTCTGTATCTGATCGGAGACAGCCCGGCCCCCATGGGTCATGTGCTCCTTTCCACGTGCTCAATTCAGTAAAACTGTTAATTTTGTACTTTTGCTTCTCTATTGCGCCATCAATTCCATGTGATGTTGAGAGGAATCAACATCACATGGAATTCACACAATTACTCTTGGGTTTTGTGCCTGCCTTTTAAGAAAGTTGAAAACTTGTATGCAGGAGCAGTTCATGTGTGGTACAGAAGCACAATATTGTTGACATTTGGAAAGTTAAATAAAAATGTACTAAAAATAGCTAAACTGAAGTTAATTAAGCTATTCTGCACTTGATTTTCTCAGGAAAAAATTCAGTCATAACCAAATTAAATCAAATAATTTTGTCAAATCAATTAATAATCTCTTATACTTCTTAAAACAACCCCTTTTCCATCTTTAATTCTGTTCATCTTCATTACAGTCGGAAGAAGCTGGCATCAATTTCCATTTTGCATGCTCCCCCTACCCCATACTCTATGAGGCTCACAGGTCCAAACTCACACCAGTGGCAGGGTGACAATTTAAAGCGAGATTTCTGAGGCTTTGATGATGGTGCTTATCGAAATAACAAAGATAGATAATTACTTATTGATTACTTACCATGGGTCAAAAACCGTTCTATTAGGCTGGGTGTGGTGATGCACACCTGTAATCTCAGCACTCAGGAGACTCAGGCAGGAGGATTGCTGTGGGGCTCGAGGCCAGGCTGGACTACATAAGTGAATTCAAGGTCAGCCTGCACTACATACGAAGATTCTGTCTCAAAAAACCAAAAACAACAAAAACACCCAAAGAAAGAAAAAACAGGGCTCACTTCAGTAGCACACACACACACACAGAGGAAGTTTTTAAAAAGTATTGTTCTAGCCATAGTGACCCATGTCTGTAATTCCAGTACTTAGGAGGCTGAGGCAGGAGGCTCACCAAGAGTTTGAAAGACTGCCTGTAATATAGAGTAAGTTCAAAGCTAGCCTAAACTACATAGGAAGACTCTCTCAAAAGAAGAAAGAAATTATTCTATTGTGATTCATATTATAATTTATTCCTCCCAGCAATCCAATGAAGTAGTTACTAAGACAACTCTGACATTGATTTGTTAACCTTGTCAGCCCAGAATATGTTTGCAATTCAAACAGAAAAAAGCTTATATTTAATAGAAGCTCACATTCTGAGATAGCTCATGAATATGGAAGTTCCAGGGAGCCCAGAAATATTAGCTCTAAACCTTGATATTTTTTGATAAACTACCATCTTATTATTTTTACATGCTAAGGATGGAACCCAGGGCAGGCTAGGCAAGTTTTTCAAAACTTGTATGTTATTAAACAAAGACAGCAATCTCTTTGTCTTTCAATAAAAAGAATGCAAGTGTTATCCAATCAGAATTGATGAGTTCTACACAATAATTTGAGCTACAAGCTGTTAGGTTTTTTGATACAGTTAAGATATACAGAGATAAGAAAAAGCCTTCACTGTCAGTGGGAGAGTATTGGGGACTGGGCCAAGATCTCCAATCTCCCAAATGAGTACACGGTGAAGGCTTAAATAAGTGAGACAAGTAGTATGATTTTAGGATTCCAGCAGGATCAAATCCTCTAACAGAGTCAAGACTCTGGGGGCTAAGACAAGGAATGTCTTTGGGCAGCCCATATTTATTTAGTTTTTCAAACAAGGAAGGGATTAGAGTGGAAAAATGCAAGAAACTGAGCAGGATCTTGGTGTGGTTTTAAGAATTTTTCCAAGTAATAGATTATGTTCATTTAGGAGAACTATGTTGTGTTAATTTAGGAGAAGTATTTTAGGAGAAAGTCTCTTTCTCCTAAAATCAGTTTGACTTTCACTACAGGAGAGAAATGCCTGAAGATGCATTCTCTGTCTTGTTAATTGGGGCTGGAACTAGGTGTCCTCAGGTGTGGCCTATCTTGCCCTTTAAGGAGTCTCCTTGTTCTCAGGTCGGCCATGCCCTGGCCTTGCACACAAACCTGGTCAATTTCCAGCTTCAATGGTTCCCGACATGGGAGGGCTGTATGAGATTGCAAGGACCTTCTAACAGGAAAGGCTGGGGAATGGCTTTTATGGAGTTGGGCTGGGGTAGAGACTGGATCATGGTGTCCAGATAGAATTGGAGGAGCTTTGGCGCCTGTGCAAGAGAAGAGTAGGAAGTTTATTTGTGGCTTGGAAAAAGAACAGGGAAGTTAGTATTGGAAGGGTGTGTTGTTATTTTAGGACTCAGTGCCATGTTGGGCAGGTGCCACGTTAAGTCTGGCAGAGTCCCATATGAGCAAAACCCATCACAAGCACCATCACCTTCTGGCCCCACACACTCTGTCCCTCTCTATCTACCATATTAGGGTTTGAATCCAGAGGGTTCACACTGAATGACAGCTATAACCACACCCCTCCTTTTCTAAAATTTGAGATATGATCTTACTAAGTTTTCCAGGCTGCTCTCAAACTTGTAATCCACCTGCCTTAGCTCCCAAAGTGTGTGCCATCAAGCCTATCTCCATCTTCATTTGTTGTTGTTATTGTTATTTTAGTGTGTGTGTGTGTGTGTGTGTGTGTGTGTGTGTGGTGCTGGAGATGGAGCTCTGGGCCTTGTGCATGCCAAACAAGCATCTTACCATTGAGCTACATTCCTAACTCTGCAGTGTTCTCATTTTATCTATAAGTTCTTAGTTTCACTTAAGGCCAGATTTTGCATGTTTACACTAGAAGTAAACATCACTCAGGACTCAAAACTTGCATGTTTTTTCTTGGTAGAATCATCAGCATCAAAAAAAAAAAATCATCAGCATCATCATATTCCAGAACTGGGGCACAGAGAAGTTCAATCACTTGCTTGAAGCTATGCAGATGGGATGGGAAACCAGCAACCAGTCCCTAAAGCCTGCTGTAACTTTTTCAGCCAGTGGTTGAGCTGGAAGAACAACCCAAAGATGTTGTTATTCCCACATAGTTTATTGACTTTTACTTTTTTCTAGCTCTGATCTAGTCACCGTGAATATATGGGGTTAAAAAAAAAAAATGCACAATCCCTCCCAGAGCATTAGATTACCTTGAAGTGGTGGGATGTGGACACTTCAAACCATCTGCCACAAGAACCTGTAAGGGTCCATGCAGTGACATTAGACTTTCCTCCCATCACCCAAATGTAACTCAGGTATAAACAACGCCAGACGAGAAAGAAGTGTGGACTTCTCCATGGTAACTCCCTCCATATGAAATTGTGGGAAATTGCATGGAGCTGGGTATCAGTAATCAAACATCTTGAGAGGATTTCCCCCGTTCCTCTCCTGCAGGAAACCATTATTTTGACCCCGACAATTCCACTGTCTTTTCTTGGATTCGTAAAATAATAGTTTTGTGTCCGCCTTTTTACACACATCGTTGTATCTATGACAATCATCAACCATGTTGCCTGTATCTTTTTTCTCTCTGCTTCATTAGCACTTTACTGTATAATTTTACCACGGCTTAGCTACTGATGCATGACTTGTGTTGTCTTTGCATTTTATTACGGAAGAGCACCGTGTACCACATTCTGTACATTGTCTCAGCAACACACCCACGGCTGGTATCCCGGGATCGCTGGTGGGCTATCTTCATTTAGCTGCTAATCAATCTCGCTGCCTTTTCCTGCAAACCTGGACAAATACCTTTCTTGAGTTATTTTCTGAGCACAAGGCCCCTCTGAACCTGTATTTCCTAAAATATGGTGCGAAAGAGTCCAGATTACAGACTAACAGAACATGCGCTTTCCAGAGAAGTATGAGACCCGCCCGTCCCCGCCCATCCCCGCCCGTCCCCGCCCATCCCCAGTCGCCGGAAGTTGTAGTCTAGGGCAGCTAGGTGAGATCCGCAAGGGACTCTGGGAAATGTGGTCTTTTTGTTGGGGAGCGGAGTGAGTAAAACGGTCGTTTTACGCTAATACTGATCGGGAAGCTCGCTATTTATTCCTATTACAATAGCAAAAAGGAGGTTTAAAGGAAAGAAAGAGCAGAGATTCAGAGTACAAGATCTAGTGGGCAGGTTCACAGGACGACCTGCTAGAGCATTGCCATATCTCCCACCCCAACCCCCTTTTCCCCTTTGCTTTCTGGACCTTAATCCTCCCGACGTAAAAGCCCTAGCGACAGAGTCTGATTGGCTCAGCCACTACTTTTGTTCATTCACTAGTGAAACCTGATTGACAGCCGGAAGGCCTGGAGAACCTTAGACAGGCCAGAAGGGGAAGGAGACGATGTCCTGGGGGAAACTACTTGCTAGACTCTAAACCAAAGACACCTTTTAGTCTTCGGCCACTTGGTTCTTTAAAACTGCTCAGGCAGTTTTAAAGTCACAGGCACCCGAACCAGATTCAAGGAATAGGAGGTGGAGCTGCCTTCTCCTCACTGTGACCAAATTTGCGCCTCTCCTAATTTAGGGTGAAGAAAAGACAAAGCGAGTAACTCATTGCGACCAAAAGGTGACATCTGAAGGGCTGAGGATGTGGCTCAGACATAGCGAGGTTGCCTTGCATGCCTGAGGCCCTGGGCCCTGGAGATAGATGATAGGTAGATAGAAGGATAGACAGACAGACAGACCGACAGAACTGAGAATGATGTCTATTTCATACAGAGTCAGAAACCAGGAGAAAATTAGCTGGTAGGGAACAGAATGTAAGTGAAATCCAGGCAGCAGGCATTTTTCTGTTCCTCAGTTGAGCGGCCTGCCACCATCTGTCCACATCTAGTAATACACTGGGTGACATTCTCTGAGGACTGTATCAGCAACAGTAACAGCGCTGGACAGTATACAACCTCACAACAACGGATGTAAGATCATTATTCAGGTTGACCTTAAGGGTGAATAATCCTATGACTTTGAAGATTAGTACCCGCATGACAAGGGGAGATTAAGCACAGTCCCACACTGCTTAACATTTCTTTTTGTTTTGTTTTGTTTTGTTTTGGTTTTGGTTTTGTTTGTGGATCTTTTTTTTCTTTCTTTTTAACATTTCTGTAAGTGACTCACTGTATATATGGTGGTGTTCTGTAAGTGTCTGCCTCCAAATCCAGAGGGTAACTGAGAGTGCAGAGTAACTAGACAAGACCAGTGTGGTGGGCAAATGAGGTTATAAAGAGTTACTTACCAGGGGCTGGGGATTTAGCTCAGCGGCATAAGTGCCTGCCTTACAAGCAGGCAGTTGTGAGTTCGATCCCTGGTCCCGATAAAAATGAAAAAGACAAAAAAAAAGAGTTACTTACAAAAAAAAAAGTTACATACAGAGCAGTGGTTGGTTTATAGGATGCAATCAGCACAATCAAAGTCACTAGCCCTTGATTTCTAGTTTCTATCACAAGTCACATGTCCTCTGCCCACATTTTATTGGTCATGCAGGTCTCCTAGCTACTCCCAGGTTCTATGGAGTAAAGATGGTTTATCCTTATGAAGAGTAGGGGACCCCATCTGGATGAACAATGATTCAATCTACTATAGCCCTATACTCTCCTTCCCTCAAACTGTAGACCTGGAACCTACATCCTTTCCAGACTGAATAGGGTCCAAACCTTCCCCAATCCTACCCAATTTCCTTTCCCAAGTCTCATCTTCATCCACTCTACATGGCAGCCAGATCAAAGGATAAGCCTTCCCTGTGTGTTCCTCTGTGCCCTTGCTAATGTCACTAAGGGCAAACAGTGCATCTGGGGACAGAAGCCCATGGGGATTGTAACTCAGCTCTGAAAATAAATTAGAGGGACAAGGTTTATTTGTAAAAAGGAGAATGAGGGAGAAAGGAGAAGATAGCCACCCTGACAAGAAAGTATCAAGGTAGAGGCTCTGAAAATATGGAACAAGGGTAGACCCTTGGTTCTCAGCTGTTTTTATCGGGGGGAGGTACCCCCCCCCCCCTGCCATCTAGAACTTGCCATAACTGAATTTGCTTCCAGGAGCTTCTGCCTAATGTCATTTCTTCTGGGATGGGGGAGTCTGTGTATACTTCTTTTTGTCTGTCTGTTTACTTGTCCTAACATACCTTTTAAGACCTTATCTTTGAGGTGGGCAGTAGTTGGCAAGGCATACCTTATTCTTGGTTAGCTTAAGTAGTTGGTAAGGGGAATGTGCTGTCCATTATATTCTATAATGAGTCTAGAGTGAATAATATAGTGACTCGAGTAAACACACATGTATATAAGTGTAACTTAGTGCATAGGTGTGAATACACACTATCTTAAAATTAATCAGCCCCCCTTGCTTTCACTACTTTTTATAAAGGTGACTTACACTTTGTGCACCTGGCTTTCTCTCTGTATCCTTCCTGTCAGCTCTTTTCTGGGACTCTTGGTGTAAGTCCCAAGGCTATTTGGTGCCTTTATCCATTTTTTTTTCTATCCCTGTTTTTGACTTGCTTCCCAGGGAATCTCTCTAGTAAAGTTTGTTTTTAACTTCTAGTCAGGATTATCTAGAGGACCTAAGTAGGCCATTCTTTTCTTTTCTTTTCTACAAACCTCTGTCCCTACACAAATCCTTCCCAACATTTGAGATCCCACCACATACTGCAAATCTTTCATAGATGCCCACTCTTATTCTGTCCCTATTTAAATCTTCCATCCCTATTTAAATATTTTGCTCCTATTTAAACTTTCAGGAGGTTTCTCATGTCCCAGCTAAGGGTGAGCATATTTTCCTTCTCCTCTAGCTCCTAAGATTTTTGCTGACTGAACTATGCCTTCCTAAACCTTGTCTTCCCACAGTATCCTGAACATAATAAGTGCTCCATAGGCATTTGTTGAACAAATAGACTTATTCTAGAAAATGGGAAGTAAAGAATTAAGTGCTTTTGGGTATAGAGGTGGGATGCTGGAAATCAAACCAGAAATATGCCCACTGAGCTGCATCGGCAGAGACAGAGTCTCACTATGTTGTTCAGGCTGGCCCTAAACTTGAGATCCTCTTATCTTGGCCTCTTGAGTAGCAGGAATTATAGGCATTCACAACCACACCTGGCTGAAAGGTATTTCTTCATAAGTCACCTGAGCTACCGTTTAATGCCACTAAATCTGGGAGTGGAGTCACCCTAAAAGAAGTATCAGAGGAGATACCCAGCCAATCCCAAACCATACTGAAATTGGGTCAGCTGGGCTCCAAAGAAAGAAACACCAAATGCCAAGGTCATGAGCATTATGTGGGACAACCTCACCCTACACAGTAAAGGGATGTTCTACCTGGGTACGTCTACAGTGAGGGACTGTGGAGCTACAGTCAAGGTGTGGAGTGTACATGAGCGTTTAAGGAAGATTGATTTGTGCCAGACAACCTAAAACACCTCTATCTAAGCTTTGGAAGGTCCAAGTCCTTGGCTTGGGTTTAACTCTTTGGGGAAAAACTTGCATCTGGCCAGTTATGGAGCAGTCAGGGTACTCTGTGATCTACAGTCAAGACACAGAAAGGAAGGGGCGCAACTTGGAGACCCTACAACTAAAGATGCAGCAGCATGTCCATCTAAGCAGGTGCCATGGCATATGCCTGGAATCTTAGCTGGAAGACTGAGGGAGGAGAATCTAAAGTTTAAGCCCAAGTAGACAATTTAGGGACTTTACAAGACTCTGCCTCAAAATAAAAATAAGGTTTAGGGATATAACTCAGTGCAGGTTTAATTTCCTATGGGAGTTAAACAAAATAACAACAAAAAAGAGAAAATGTCTAACTAGTGTGCTTCTGACTGTTTACAATTTATGAAGTCTGCAGTGGCAAACAGAAACACCAAAATGACATGCAGGATTTGGAGGCAGACTTATTTATGCTGATGATCATTTCCAGAATATCAGGCTCCCACCTTTGTTGGTCTAGGGCTTATATGGGATAAGCAAGCAGGAAGTACAGAGGCAGAATGGCTTGTCAACTAGGGATTGGTGTGCATAATAGTGATCAACTAAGCATCGCAATAACCAGCCATTTCTAAGACACCGGAAGCAACTGGAACTGATACAGGAGCTATTATCTGGGTAACTAAGAAACTGAAATGTACTGGCTGGGGATGCCATTTCCTGTTACAAGTACAGGCCTAAAGTTCTTGTCTACAAATATCTGTACCCCAACCCTGGCAAGCTCTCTCTTAATGACTCTCCTTACCTTTTGGGAGGGATTTGGTGGAACCCCCCATTTCCCATTTTGTCTTATAGACAGAGCAAGTTATGCCCATCCTGTCTCGCATGTGTGTGTGCTCTTTTTCCTCTTGCTTTCTGTTGTGGGATCACACAGCAAGAAGTCCTCCATCACAAAAATGTCATGGGCCCCCCTGTGCTGCAGCAGATGGGTATGTGTGGGAGTAGCAGGGGTCCAAATAGACTTTTACAGATCCTTAAGCATAATGTTTGAGAATCACTTGTTTTTCAAAATCCCAAATGTCTTTTGATGGCAGAGTCCCACAGTTGCTAAATGGCAGGCACTGTTGTTACAGCGTGCTCAAGAAATTTGCCCACAAGCCACTGAGTTTTCAGAAACTAATAAGGTTTATTTCAAACTGCAGTGGTCAGTCAGCTTTTGCCATTGAAATTCTGGCTACTGGCTGGGGCTGGCACCAATTCCTTTGTTCCCTTCTGTTATAGACCCCTGTAAGAGTTCACAAGGTCAGGAGGTTTCCATGGATACCACCATTTTGCAGCACTATCATTGCTTTGGAATGTTACAAGAACTTCTTACACATCTGGTTAACTGACATGCAGAATGTGGGCACCAGGCAGTTTGATGCCTTGAGAGAAACCCTGTTTGTTTCCCTTTCTGTAGTTTTTATAATCAATTAAAGGAGAGGAGGAGGCTTTTGGGTGATTTGGCCAAAGTTCACTCACTGAGGCCTAACTGATAAGTAGGCATCTAAACTATAATCTACAGGCCATAAAATAATTGAAGTTTTCAAGACTAGTGTTTGGAGGGTTTCAAAAGAAAATAAGGCAGAGAAAAGAAAGCAAATAAAGGGGGGGTATGAACAGCCTCACACTGTAACATTTTGAGCCCTGATAATTTAGTTCCTTTCTGGGAGAAACTTTATCCACTTTTTTTTTTTTTTTTTTTTTTTAAATCGGTACCAGGGATTGAACTCATGACCACCTGCTTATAAGGCAGGTGCTTATGCCGCTGAGCTAAATCCCCAGCTCCTATGGGAGAAACTTTAACATCAAAGCAGTTTTGGTTCTGAGGTAGGAGGGCCTTACCTCAGAGAGGAACATGGCCACCTTAGGAATACAAAGTTCTGTATGAGAAATCCATTGCCTTTTTTTTTTTTTTTTTTTTTTTTTTTTTGAGGGGGAATATGTGCAATAGGAGAATACGTGCAAAAGGAATAGAAAATATTGAACTAGTCAGTACTGGATTTAGCCTCCTTTAAATGTCCTATAAAGGTGAAAGGGAAAGAAAGTAGCAGCAGGAAGATGCTTCTTTTAGGAGATAGGTTAGAAGAAATCTACTCCCCATGGCCAGAAGTGTCTACCCACAAGTACAGAAGGAGGTGTTCAAAGGACAGGAGGCCTGGCCAGGTGTGGGCTACATAGTGAATTCAAGGCCAGCCTGAAATATATAGCAACACTTTGTCTCAAACATTAACAAAAAGGTAGCAGAAGCTGGAAGGAGCCGCTCTTTCCCTTAGCAAATGGGAGAAAATGGAAGCTAAAGGGCGCCATCTCATGTGTCACCTGCAACCGTACTGCCCTGCCATGCGCCATCTACTGGAAGTGTCTGGAATGTGTCCTTCCAAGATTCCTTTTCTAGATCAAAGGACCCTGCAAGGCATTTGTCTCTAGGTTCATATCTAAAAGGGTTTCAAATATATACTTCTGACATTATTCCTATGGGAGGCCACGGCATCACAGAGAGACAATGTGAGGTGGTGCATGAGAAAATGTCACTTTTTATGTTCTTACCACTTGCACGGCACTGCCAACTAGATTTCTCCATGGAGTCTGGAATTGTTTTACAAGCAACACTACATTGCATTGTGTGATTTGTCCAGGTGTAGTAAGACAAATACCTTGTATTCTTAGACATCTGCAGGATCTGAAAAGCTTGAACAACTGAAGCAGGGAGTAGAATGGTAATTACAGAGGCCAGGGTGTAAGGGGAACAGGGAAATGATGGTCAAATGGTACCACAAAGCCTCAGACAAGAGTACATTTTTTGAGAGCTAATGCAAAGGGGTAAATATAGCTAATAATAGTATAGTCTTAAAAGAGTAAAAGTTCTTAACTGGGCATAGTGGCACATGCCTGTAATCTCATCACTCAGGAGACTAAGGCAGGAAGTTTGCAGTGAGTTGGAGGCCAGGCTGGGATACATAAGCAAGTTCAAGGCCAGTCTGAACTGCATAGTGAAACCCTGGCTCAAAAAGACGAACAAACAAACAAAAACACACATAAATGTTCTCATCAGAAAAAACGACAAGTATTTGAGGTGATGGATGTATTAATTAGTTTGAATCATCTACAGTCATAACATAACATTGAGATAGGAGGTGGGGCAAAGCTGGCTGGGGAATCAGTGGGACTTAATAACAAGATCCCAGGATGGCACCCAGTACCTGGTATACAGAACTGGTGGACCACATAAAAGAGATGAGCTACTGGGAGGAGCCAGCTATATTGACTCTTGATGGTAGCCTACTCTGAGCTTCCCAGGTTCAGGCATACTTTTATTTTTGCTCTTTTCTCTTTTTCCTATTTTATTCTGCTCAAGTTTTTTCTATCGAGCCAGTTTCTCCCCTACCTTTTTACCCCTTATTTTTCAAACAAACTTTTGGCACCATTTTTGGCTTGTATTTTTCAATTCTTTGTTTGGGGTAAAAAGAACCCAGAATAAATGTAATTGGAGCCATTTCTAAAAGGAACTACCTAACATCATTATCCACCCAGTGGGTATATAATTATAATTTGTCATTTGCAATAAAATTTAAAAATTAGGAACAAAAATGTTTAAAAATAAAAATATTCTTAACCAGGCATGGTCGTGCACACTTGTAATCCCAGAATTTGGGAGGCTGAGGCAGGAGGATCATTGTGAGTTAGAGACCAGCCTAGACTATAAAGTGAGCTCAAGGACAGCCTGAACTGCATAGTGAGACCCTGTTTCAAAAAGACAAAAAATTCTTTCAATTCCCCCTACTGCAAAATAATAAAATCATAATATTCCATAACTATTGAAATTTCATTGTTTCTTTTTCCTTTCCTTTTAAAAATTCATGAGGAACCTCAAAACAGTGGAACTGAGCAAATAAAACAATCTCGAATCAAGACAGGATTAAGATGCAGCAAATATTAAACTAACATATTCTGATTCAAATGGAACCAAAACACCCCTGGGGACAATATATTGGCTTTTTAAAGAGTTCTCTTACACTTTTAGTAAAATCTCTGAGATTCGGTGTGTGTATATAAGTTCATGTGTGTGCACATGCATTTCCACAGGACCTCAGGGTTAGAATTTTCTCAATAGACTAGAAGTGAAATAGCTGTGTCCTGCTACAGATCTGTACCCATAACCCCACTCATATCTGGAAAAGTCAGGCAGTATAACTATAAAGGGTGTTTTCTAGGTCAGGGTTCTCCAGGCTAAAGACCCCATACCACAAAGTTTTTTTCTATTTCACATAGCTTCAGACTAACACAAGGATATCGCTAGGGTTTGAATGAGACATCCAAAATTCATGTGTTGGAAATTTAATCCTTAGTGCAACAAAATTGACAAGTGGGATTTTTAAAGAGGTGATTAAGGCCATTCTCTCAGGAGTGGGTTCCTGATAAAAATAAGTTTGGTTCTCTGTTGCCTTCAAGCTCTTGCTTTTGCATCTTTTGCCCCGAGATGACACTGCCCACCCCCTGCCACAGTGGCCAGCACTATGCTCTTGAACTTCTCAGTGTCCTGAACTATAATTCACAAAAACTGTTATTGTTTATAAATTACCAAGTCTCTGGGATTCTATTATAGCAACACAAAGCAGACTATGACAGATGTCTTTAACAAAAGGAACTATTTGCCAGAAAAGACAATGCTGAAAGGCTGTTTATCAAGGTTAATGTGCCTTCACTGTGACTTATCTAATTTAGCTGGCTTACAAATTTCCTTCAGTGATAGAAATATGCTACATCTGTAATGGACATTTGTTATATTGTTTACTGGATTGAACACATGGAATGTGGCTAATGTGTCTGAAGAACAGACTTTTGACTTTAACTTTCTTTTTTTTTGGAGGCAGGTTCTCACTCTGTAGTCCAGGCTGATCTCGAACTCGCTATGTAGCCCAGGCTGGCCTCAAACTTGTGGTGATCTTCCTGTCTCAGCCTCCCCACTGCTGAGATTATAGATATGCCTCACCACACTGGCCTATTTATTAATCAGTCACATGAATTTCCTCAGTTTTTCCCTCAACAATCTCTTTCCATGCTTCTTCTTCTGCCACTCTAGGTCTTTTACAAATTTTATTTGCGAGAATTGTATGTTCAGAATAAAAATCATTTTCCGGTATGCATATTACAAATATCTTCTCTGCTCTGTTGCTTGTTTTTTCGTCCTCTTAATGGTCTTTTGATGTCCTAAGTTTAACTACAACCAATTTATCATAATTAAATTTAGAGTTGGTACTTTTTTGTTCTCCCTTTCCACAGTCACGATAATTCTGCTAATTATTGTCTAGAGTTAGCTGTGTTTTTTATGTTTAGGTCTGTGATCCATTTGAATAGATTATTTTGCGTAGTTAGAAGTCAAAATTCATTTTCCTCAGTCTACACATTCTACTAACGACCACTATATATTTAAATAACTTTCCTCTTTGCTCGGTGAATGTGTAGGAGAGGACTGTTTTCTGGCTTCTCTATTCATTTTAAAGTGCTTGCTTTCTTTTTTTAATTTTTGAGCTAATATTACGATGCTTTTATTAGTATGACTTCATAATAAATCATTCAATTTCGTTTTTCCCTAGGAGTGCTCGGAACCTAAACCACAAACCTTTGGATTTTCCTCCGGGAGGAGAACTGGAGGGCGCTCAAGCAGGAGGACCAGTTCAATCTTTCTTCCCAAACTTTGTCGCACGCACGTCCGATGCGCATGCGCACCTCGAAAGCTGTGATTGGACGAGTGTAGTCGGTTGGGTTTAGATCATTTCCGAGGCGGGAGGATGAAGTTGATTGACCATGGTTTCTCAGGACGCCAGGTATGGTTTGGTGAAGTAGGAACCTCCGGAACTGAGAGGTGTAGGGTCTGGCGTAGTACTAAGGCGGGCGGTGTATCCTGCCTGACTTGAGTCAAGCCTCGCCTAGGTGAAGGGAGGAAAGCAGAAAGGAGGCTGAACGGAAGCCTCGGGCCCTCAGGGTGCGCTCTGGGTCCCCGGATGTTTCCAGACTCTAGTCTTTGAAGGAAGTCTCGGCTCAACTAGGATAAAACACTACAGCCCTGGCTCTGGTATTGTGGTTGGGGAGCCCCTACTTGTTTCAGAGGTCTTGTCTTGATTTTAGTAGAAATGCGAGTAGTAGTGTGGCCCTTACAGTGTTCTTGAAAGTGCGCTTCTCTCACCTGTTTTCTTAAGTCTTCGCGGACGTTTTGCAGTCCCTGCAGTGTGGTCTGGTAGAGTGACCAAAGGCAAGAACAACGGAGCTAGTGGCACCTTAGCCTGGTTACTAATGTTAGAAGTAGCAAAGGAGATTGGAATTTTCAGAAGGTAGGAGAAAGATATCTTATGCCTCCTCCAGTATTTGCTCTGCTGCTTCCTAGCTGTACGAGTTTGGGCGGACTTTCAAGCTCATCGTATCTGTTTCTTTAACTGTGAGTTTGGGAAGAATACATCGATCCTTAAGCCTGTAGCGAGGTGGGAATGAGATTGCACTTGCAAGGAACTTGGCTTGTGCCCAACAAAGAATACCCATAAGTTTTTTTTCAGTTTCCAAGCCTTTGGTATAGAGAATTTTTTTTTTTTTTTTGGTCTTTTTCGTTTTTATCGGTACCAGGGATCGAACTCACGACCCTGCACACTTGCAAGGCAGGTGCTTATGCCGCTGAGCTAAATCCCCAGCCCCTGGTATAGAGATTTGAGAGCTGACAGAATACACACTCTCCCTTGGGGGTCTCTCACTTTGTTGTCTATTGGCCAGAACTCCATGCTGAAGCTGTTCTTACCTTTGCCTCCTGAGTGGCTGGGACCACAGGCATGCTACTGCGCCTAGATACATTTAAAGTAACTTTTGAGCTTCATATTCAAATGTGTTTAGTGAGCATAATGCTTGCTTCTCTTAGAGGAATTGCCAATTAGGGCTTTTTACATCATCCAATCTGTATAGGAGAGAAAAAAAAAGAGCCAGTTTCTAGAGAAGTGGCAGGTGAAAAGGTGATCTTTAGCTTGGTAGTACAGAGTTTGAATTAGCGGAAAAAAAACCCCTGCTTTTTCAGGACAGTATGGGCAACGAACTTTTGTGAACATCCACTGGAATGGGTGTTTTAGATGCCTTTCTTCCTTCTCACTACAACAAAGTGGGTGATATCACCATATGTTTTCGGAACAATTACAGAAGCTAATCTACAACAAATTAGTGAGGGAGGCAGGCTTTTAGGTACTTCTAGGAGGGCTGGCTGCTTTCTAAGGGGTTGTGTAATAAAAATTGATGTACATAATTGTGTTTTGCTGAAATAGTCTTTTTTTTTTTTGAGAAAACAAGATTACCTAATTTGTTAAATTTTTTCCCTTTGCAATGTTTGGTGGTACTTTGGTATCACACACAGTATTTTATACCAGTACACTGGTGATTCTAGGATAGCCAAATGACCTGTCTATTCAGAGTAAAGTTGAGGATTTCAGTTCATTAATATAGATAGCCCCAGTTCTTCTTCCCTTCCTCCTCCTCCTCTCTTCCTTTTTTTTTTTCCCCCCCTTTTTCTTTTCTTCTTCCTCCTCTTCTGTTTAATATTTTGAGACAGGGTCTTGCTATGTAGTTTAGGATGGCCTTGAATTCACTATGTAACCCAGGCTGGCCTCAAGCTCTCAGTGATCCTACTGCTTCTGCCTCTTGGGTGCTGGGATTACAGATGTGTGCCACCATGTTTGGCCTCCAGCTATTATCAGAAGCCTTCTTATTGTTAAAAATGAAGCTAATCTGAAGACAAGCCAGTACATGGAGGACTCCTATCTCAGAAATATTAATTTGAAAACCTGATCAAAGTAATCATCATCTGCCCCACTTCTGGATTTTTCTGATTGGGTAAAACGATTCCCATACACACACACATATGTATTATTATATATAATATATAAAAATATATATGTCCCTATATTTGTTTTAGTCCCTATATTTGTTTTAGTCAAATTTGTAATACTGTGTTTGTATAAAAGGAGTATGTTTGTGCCCCAGTCAGAGGTGTGGGTGATCACCTTTCCTACCATATTTATGCCCTTTTTTCTTTATGTAATAATAGGGATTGAATATCACTTACCTGAGATGGGACCATAAATATTTTTGGATTTGGACTTCAGATATTCAAATTTTGGTACACATACATATATATGAGATATCTTGGGAATGTACCTAAGTCTAAACACAAGTCATTAATATTTCTGTGTATATACCTTATCAGACCTAAAAGTAAGATTATACAGTGTTTTTAGTATATGTGCATTTTAACTGTGACCTGTCACATGAGGTCAGAGGTGGAATTTTCTGCCTGTGGTGCTTACTGATACTCAGAAATATTTGGGTTTCAAAGCATTTTGAAGTTTTGGATTAGGGAGGCTTCAACTTGTAATAGCTAATATTTATTGAGCATTTATTATATGCCAGGCACTATGCTAAGCACTTTATGGATTACTCATCTTTGTAAAGTAAAAAATATCATCTTCATTTGTAGAGGAAGAAATGGGCTGAGATGGTTAGAAGTTTACATCTAAGTGATGGAACTAGTCAGATAACAGATATGTGTCATTATTGCTGCTGTGTACCACCAATGTGCTGTGTTTGGGAGTACAGTGATGACCAGAACAGACAGGGCCTTGTTCTCTAGTTGTTTATTAATCTAGGGAGGAAGATAGACAGTAAATGGTAGTAATTACCTGTTGATCATTAAAACTGAATATTAAGTACAGTTGTGGTACATGCTACAAAGGATGGCAGAGGGTGCTCTGAGAACAAATAATGGGGTCACTGGCAGGGGAAGGCAATGGGGAGATACAGGGAAGGCTTTCCTGAGAAAATAATACTTAGCTGAGACCACAAGGACTGAGTTGGAGTTAAAGTGGGCAAAGAGCTGCTAGGGTGAGGGAAAGTCATGTGTGAGGCCTTGAGACTTGGAAAAGAACAGTGTGGCCAAAGGTCAGAGAATGTAAGGTCAGACACCTGGTGTAGATAAAGATTTATCTTTAACAAGCATTTTTTTTTTTTACTTTTTTTTTTTGTCTTTTTCATTTTTATCGTTACCAGGGATTGAACTTGTGACTGCCCGCTTATAAGGCAGGCGCTTATGCCGCTGAGCTAAATCCCCAGCCCCTTAGCTTCATTATAGTTCAAGCCCTGTTAGCTACCTTATGCAAACATGAAAAGACATACTTTTCCTCTACTACCCCTTTACAATGTATAATCTAGTTTATGTTTCACTTGCCTCCCACTTAAAATGCTACTTTGCTTTTTTTTTTTTTTTTGTATGGGGGATCAAACTCATGACCTTGTGCTTGTCAGGCAGGCCCTTGTGCTGCTGAGCTAAACACCCAGCCCCTATGGTTATTTTATCAATATTATTTTTATTTTATTTTTTAAAATTAGTTTATTTTGTCTTTTTGAGACAGTCATGCTATGCAGTTCAGGCTGGCGTTGGGCTCACTTTGTAGCCCAGGCTGGTCTCGAACTTGCAAGTGATTCTCCCAAGTGCTGGGATTACAGGAGCACGCCATCACACCCAGCTCAGCATTCTTCTTGAGTTTATATTTTTATTTGGCATGTCTTGGGGATACAGTGGCAAGCAAATAATTATGGTCGTCATCCTACGGAGCCTAAGCTTTCAGTTAGGGATTGAAGGAGTGAGAGAAGTAGAGAATAGGGGAGATGAGGTAGCATAGGAAGGCAGGAGTCAGACCATGCAGGCCTTACAAGCTGCGTCGAGGACTCAGGGCTTATCCTAAGGAGTGTGTGGGGGTGTCTACTGAAGCTTTCCAGTTGGAGTAGGACTACCAGGCCCGTGGTTATGAAAGATCACTCTGGCTTTTCCCTCGAAGCAAAAGTCAGCTTTGAGGGCTATTTAGGGTGATGATGAGTCGGGGTTTGGTGATAAGTTGATTCTGGGCATGTTCTTTTTTGACTTGTTGGTGATAAGAAATCTGGGGGAAGACTGAGTTCAGCTTTGAGTAAGGTATCTTTGAAATAATCCACATGGAGGTATCACAAAGGCAATTATGTGGGAGAAGTTGATGCTCAGATGACAAGAATGGGCTGTCTCATGAAACTTTTGTCTGGGAAGAATTTTTTCCCTGCTCTCCCCTCCCTTTCCCTTTTTTCCTTTCTTCTTTGCTTTTTGTGACCCATGTATTGAACCCAGACCCTTTTTACTGAGCTATGTCCCCAGCCCTTTTTTATTTTTATTTTTGAGTTTGATCCAAGATCTTGCTAAATTGCCCGGGTTAGGCTTGAAGTTGCAGTCTTCCTGCATCAGTCTCTCAGAGTGCAGGAATTACAGGTATGAGCTATCATACCTGGCTTATTTTCTTGTTTTGAGGAAATCACTAGTTAAGGAAAGCAGTAATGGAGTGAACCCAGACAGGGTATAGAAGTTCTCTATATTTATATGGGGGAAAATAAAAAATCTAGTCTCCCGCCTACCTGGAAAATAATCTTCATAAATGTGGAAAGATAGAAAATGATGCTATTATTATTTCCTATAATTTTTATTTTGCCAGATATGTACATGCACATAACATACTTTAATGATCCCCCATCATTCTCCACGCCCCACCCTCCCTCTTATTTCATATTTTTGGGGTATTTCAATCTTTTATTTTATTTTTTAAATTAATTTATTTATTTTGTCTTTTTGAGACAGGGTCTTGTATTCTTGATGATTGCTATTCTGACAGGACTGAGATGGAGTTTCAGTGTAGTTTTGATTTGCATTTCCATGTTTTATTATTGAATAACCACTAAAGCGGACTGGGATTTATAGACCAGAAAGAAATCTCACCATTTATATTTAGCCAAGCAGAAACAGCCCATTGCATACATAATCTCTAAGATTTCTGAGAATTTGTTTTCTTGTAAAAATATTCTTTGCTATTGTGGCTCATCTCCAATTCACTTAGAATGATCATCTGTACTACTTAATTGCTTTTACTGGAAGGAAAAAGAAGATATTTTATATCTCTGTGATACACAGGGAAGTATCTAGACAGGGAGATGGTGTATTATTTTTCTTGATGTTTACATTTAAAAAATGGGCTCAGGCCCCTCAGAAGAACAGTTCTAAGTTTTAGCCTAGCTAGAATTAGCTTATTTAACTTTTAAAAAGATTTGCATATACAAAAGGACATAGGAATGGTGAAAATACTAGATTTTTCAAAGAAATGCTCTCTTCCTTTGAACAATAGGAGAATTCAGATTTTAAAATTTATTAATACTTACAGTGTAATAAGATGTTGAACTGGAGCAGTGTTCAAAATGTTTGATGTTATGAGTGTTATTCTAGAATGGTTTGTGAGTCCATACACAGTTTGTGGTAGGGTGCCCTTGAGTGGTCACATCTAATCCATAATTTTTTGAACGCTTTTTTTTTTTTTTTTTTTTTTGAGACAGGATTTTGCTATGTATGTAGTTCAGGCAGGCTTTAAACTTCTAGTGATCCTCCTGCCTCAGCCTGCTGAGATTGCAAGCATGCACCAGCATGCCAGCTTTTTTTTTTTAAAGAAAATTTTAACAGTAGTTTTACCTAAATTCCTCTGGTCCAGCCAAAATTGTAGTCCCTGGTAGTTAACCTGTTCAGAGCCTGTCTTGTCATTAATGGCAATAATGTCATTGCTCACTTCCATTCAGTTATACCCATATGAGACTTGTCTTTGGTGAGAAAGTGCAGAAATGAAGTGTCAGTCTATTCTGAAAGACCACAAACCTGGAGACGAAGATCGAGATTGAATGACATGAAAATTGATCTTGGAAGCAGCTTGCTACACACAAGGTAGGAAGTATAATGAATTCTTTTAGATTCTGCCTGAAGTCTCCTAATTTCAGATTTAGCCACTGAACTGTGTTGTCAAAGGAGGTCTGCTGTGGCTGCTGAATTGATTGAATGCTGCTTGCCGTGTTTCGAACTTGTTTGCTATACCATGCTCTTGTTTTATTAAGTTGTATTTGTACCAGAAATGCTACCGGTACACATGATGCCCAGTGGGTGCATCTAAGAGTTTATCTAGGCATAGTGGTACAGATGTTTAATCCCAGCACTTGAGAGGCTGAGGCAGAAGGATCTCTTGAGTGTGAGGCCAGCCTGGACTACATAACAAGACCCTGTCCACAAAAACAAAAAAATATGGGCTTTAAAGTTTGATTGCCTGGGTTCAAATCTCTGCTCACCATTTGCTACCTCTCTTTTAAAGGGAGATATAAAAACTTTCAGGTTTATGTGCACAATGTTTAGTAGTTATTAAAGCAAACACTGTATTAGGACAATGTTGGTGTTTAAAAATTCTCTTAGTAAGGCATGGTGGTATACAACTATAATCCCAGTTGAGGCAGGAGGATCACTGCAAATTCAAGACCTGCCTAGGCTACATAGTGAGTTAAGGCCAGCCTGAACTACATACAAGATCCTGTCTCCAAAGAAACAAATAAACAAACAAACAAACAAACACATTTCCCTCTTTGATAGTGGCATCATAATTGAGATTGGCTTAACATGTTAGCTGAGCTGAATCAAGGAAACTGCTGAGTTCTTGTTAAGCAGCCAACTTGCTTATATTCAGTTATTGTATAGAAGCTTTTGCATTCTGTTTGAGTTTTGAAATGGAGTTTAGGAATCTGTTTATCTCAGTATTAGACTCCATCCTGTATAAAACTCCTACTAAAGGATTGTTGTTTTTACATGATCCCCAATGGATGCATTTGAGAACTAAGAATGTGGGCTTTAGCTAGGTGTAGTGGGGCAGATGCCTAATCCCAGCAATTGAGAGGATGAGGCAGAAGGATCTCTGTGAATTTGAGGCCAGCCTGGATACATAGCAAGACCTTGTCTCAAAAACAAAAACCAAAAACAAAAAATGTGGGCTTTAGAGTTTGACTGCTGGGTTCAAATCTGTGTTCACTATTTGCTAACTATGACTTGTAGCATTCTATTACATATATAAAACATCCAAAAAGAGAATAAGCACTCTTTTTCCCATCATGGTCTTTTCCTGATAGTTCTTTTAAAAGAGTGAGCTTTTTTTCCACCCATCTTAACCCAGCAACTTACAATTTATAACAACAGAATAGTGGCTCTCATGTACCTGTGTGTGTACCTCCTGAGGGCCTGATCCAGCTGGCTACTGAGTCTTTAGGGTGGTGTTTGGGGTCCTGAAGTCCCAGTTGCTGAAAACAAGGATATAGGAATACAATGAAGTCACCTGAGTGTTCAAAGTATTCAGTTTATTCCTTTTACATACACTTTTAGTTTTCATCATTCATTTTCATTCAACTTAGTATCTAAGCCTAGGAAATGGATGAAATTAAGTGGTTTTCTTAGGCTACTAGAGAGGCTCTATATGGACAGATCAAGTGTTCTAGGAGATTTAGCAGGAGACACCAGACAGTTTTGGGCTTTAGTATTCACAGGAAGCTAGCATGCAGTAGTAGCAGTAGATACTTCTACCAACTATGGAATAGGTAATTCCTGTTAGCAGATCCCTCTTTCTGTCATCTCCTAACTGTCTTAGGATGCAGAGACCATAATGTTTGTTGCCCCATTCCACAGGTGAGGAAGCAGGAATCCAAAGTAGGTAAGCTGCAGGGTCAAACAGAGGACATTAATGTTGGCAACAGTTTGACTTCATATCATTTGCTTTGCCATGTGGCAAACTATAGAAATTATAGAAATTCACATTTCATTTGTAGTGCTGGACTCTCTTAGTTTAAAAATATCTAAGGGGCTGGGGATTTAGATCAGTGGCTCAAGCACTTACCTGGTAAATGCAAAGCTATGTGTTCGATCCTTGGCACAAAATAAATAAATAAATAAAAATAAAAAATCTAGGGTTATGAAAATTCAGGTTTACTAATTTATCCAGCTTCAGTGAAGAACATTTGCATTGCATAAGGGTTTTCCAGCAAAATAGGTGTTCTGTTTTGTTTCAGATAGTTTTTGGATCTTCTGAAATAATTTTCACAATTTTGTATGTATGTGGCATTTTAGCAGAGACATAACAGCGATTAGATTTTCAAAGGAATCTATACTGATAAAAGGTACAGACCCCACTTGGCAAGTAGATTTTCAAGAAATGTAGCTTTATAGGAAAATTCCTGTTTTTTAGAGGAGAGAGAAGAGGGAGCAAAATTATTTCAACAACAAAATGAATACAGATGAATTAAATTTTGCCTGTCCTACAAAGAATGTAATCTTCTCACAGAAGAAAAGTACTGATTCCTCTGGATCTAAAGGTGGAGACAGCTACTCTGAAAGCACTGGCTCTCGCTATACCTATGATGAGCTGTGGGTTGTCAAGGATGAGTGAGGTTTTGAAACGGGTCACGAGGCTGAGTCCTGAGCCCTGACTTTCCTTTTTTTTCTCCCCACTTGTTCCTTCCCCTTTCCAGTACATTCAGAATGACTTACGGGTTTGCCCTCGTTCTTTTTAAATTTTTGGTACTAGGGCTCGAACCTGGGACCTCATATATGCAAAGCTCTTACTCTACCACTGGGGTTCACTGTTGGGGACCACAAATTCACAGTGACTGGTTTTGTGTATTTCCCTATGGAATAAAAAGCAGAATTGGGATTATTGGTCTACCCATCTGAGATTTCGCATTGACTCTTAGCATAAGATCATCTAGCCTTTGTGAGTCATCTCAGGATTACACTCAAGGTCAAGATACTTCTCCTAAATTAACATAATCTGCTACTGGAAAAGTCTTTGAACTACTCCCAAAACCCTGCGTTTTTTAACTCTAATCCCTTCCTTGACTGAAAAAATAAATATGGGCCAGAGACATTCCTTGTCTTAGCCACCAGAAGCAAGAACTCTGCAGAGGCTTTTGATCCTCCTGGAGCCCTAAAATCATACCACTTATCTCATTTATTTAAGCCTTGGCCGTACACTTGTTTGGGAGATTGGGAATCTAGGCCTTGTCCCCGATAGTTCACCCCTGCTATAGGTTTGCATCTTCAGGGACAGTCATGCAGTAAATAAAATACAGTGCAATACTGAACAAACCTTCCATCTGGCTTTCTGAAATAAGTCGATGTTTCTGGGAAAGAGAACAGCAGTAGTGTAACTGTGAAGGACTCAATCCCTGTTGCTTTCTTCTGAAGCTTGTTCTGGGAATTCCCCAGGCAACTTGAAGAGCATCCATGCTGAGGCCTGCAACTTAAGCTTCCAGCTCATCACTGTTTAGGGGGGAGGTCCATCTGCATTAGTGCCCCCTTCCAAGGGAAGAAGACAGGTGTGTGCTAGGCTGTTGTCCAATTATGCAGCAGGACAAACACTGCCGATCCTCCTGGTAGCAGTACCTCTTCCTACCATTTCCAGTATCTGACTTCCTCATGGCTTTCCTAGAGATGACCCCAACTACTCCCTGGGCTTCCTGAGTACTCACAGTAATGGAGACCCGATGGACAGTCTGATCCCAGGGTCAGGTACAAAATGCTACAGACTGTTGCTTCTGAAGCTTCCTGTCACATCTCCTGGAATCCAAGACTGTAATATGACCTCTTTCCAGATTGACTACAACTTTCTGGGTTCCATAACATTATAAGAAGTGTCAACCAAAGTGTCTACAGATAGTGCATAACAGCTTCTCTAACATGGTAAAAGCTACCACCATTTATGTGGTACTTGAATCAGGGCTTGTGGGGAGTAGATTTCTCTGGTTGGTCCTGACATAAGGAGATGGTGCAGACCTTGGTCCTTGGGGCCAATCATCTGGTACTTACACCACGGGTTACAAAAAAACCTAAGGTAAAGACCAGCTTACAGTAGCGATTACTGCTCCATGCCTGGCACAGTTCAGACATGATGGCACTGCCTGGGGTTGTGTCCCAAGGCTGCAGGAAGCAACACAGGCTGGCAGTGCTGCCTTCCAAATGGGAGATCAGTTCCTGCACAGCATATCTGACTGAACTGAGGCTAGGAGGTAGAGGATTGTCCTGTAAGGTTTCTCAGGAGACACATCTTGGGCCTCTTCAGCAGCCATCCTGCTTCTTGGGAAGCAGGGAGTTGGGAGAGAGGTTGATGATGCCATAGTGTTGGGTTTAAAACAAACTCTATGAGACTGTGCATGGGAAAGCAGAAGGTGGGAGGGGAGGCAGTGTTGAGTTTGTGGAGCAGCTATCAGGGTATAAACTCAGCATGACATTCCAGTGACTTTTTTCTGTTTCACCTGGCCAACACATTCTAAACCTGGCACAGCTGGCAGTTAGCTCTTCACAGGGACTTCTGGTATGAATGCTTTTGTTAACTGTGGCCTTCAGGATTGTTGCTAAGCTTCAATGCCCCCATATTAGCTGGGCAACTTGCCGAGTTCTGTTCTCACCCTTGGATGGGATGTCCTGGATGTTAGAGGTTTCTTCAGCCTAGGTTTCTGGGAGAAGATTGTGTGGTGGGGAGCCTTCCTTGGTTCAGGGGGCGCTGTTGCATTCTAGAGACACTGCTCCAGATGAAGGGCAGGTGGCTTGGGGACTGCTTTCTTACTTTTTGCCAGATATGCTGGAGGCCAGATGCAGCCAGATGGAAGGAGCAGGAGAGGCTTCGAGGCTAGGGCAAGGCCAGCCAGAGGCGGGGGATTATGGTGGCTCAAGTCTATTGAAATTCGAGGTCCTCTCTGCTCCCTGCCTGCTGCCACCCTGCCAAACATACAAAACATATTTGTATGTTGCATGTAGTAGAATACTGTATTGCGTAGAAGCCTTTTTTTGTTTGTGTTTTTGAGACATATTCTTGCTGTGGAGTTCAGGCTGGCCTCAAACTTGCCTATGTGGCCCAGACTAGC